GCCGCCCGCCCCCGGCCACTGCCCTGCTCTCCGCCCGGCGCCCCGGCCTTATATAGCCCCGCGCCCTCCGCCTCCTCCCCGCCTCCCTCCGGGCGGGGGCAGCGGCGTCTCGGCAAGAAACCCCGGGGTGTTCCCGCCCCGCCCTGGCGGCCTCCTAGGAAAGAGCCTATTCAGAAAAAAAGCCTGCTGCAGAAGGCAGGCGGGGGGGTTCCCCAAGCCCCCTCCCTCCGCTCTCCTCTCCCCCAAAGGCTGGGAGCGGGCAGGGCCCTGGGGACAGACCTCTTTCAGATTCAGTCCAAACTACCTGTAGCTACATGTTTCAAACAGGAGCCTTCCTCTTATCTGGGGGCTTGATTTTTTTGTTTGTTTGTTAGTTTAACCTGGGTCCACATCCTAAGGCAGCCTGGGCAGGTGACTGCAGCCTGCTTTTGTTCTTGATATACCTTAAGGCAGGTTCAAGGTTTTTCCCTGCTAATGCCATGTACCTGCTTGCATTAAGACTGGGACAGGGATGAAGATACATGACATGAGGCAGTTTTAGGCTGGTTCTTATTATAATCACTGTGTTCATTTTTAACCCCTTTTGAAGCAAGAAAAGGTTATGCTCAACTGAACACCTATGTGATTTTTATTAACTGCAGCACATCTGCTGCAGCCGGGAGCTCAATAGGGCTGCCCGCTCCCTGCAACCACATAGCAATCCTTGCAGCGCAGAGTGTTTTACTCTGTTGCACACATGGTTTGAAATTCATGGCTCGCCTGGAGGAGTCTTGCCTCCTTGAGAGATATGCAAGCTCCTCAGTTCTGTTAGAAGAAATCTATTTTTTAAAGCTGCATTGAAAGATCAGTCTGTATAGTGACATGGCCCCCACCCAGGCAAAAGTTAGCTGTAGTCTGTCTTGGCCCTTCTCTCTTAGTAGCTGTGCTGGGCATTTTGGGGTGCCCCAGATCACAGTGCACGAAGCATAGCAAAACAGAGCACAGAATTCAGACCCCAGAGTCAGCGGGGGGCATCTAATTCCAGACCCCAGACTACTTGACTCCTCACCTCCAATGCCTCATTTTGCCAACACTTTTCTTCACCTCTTATTCTCAAATCTGTACATTTTCTTGGGCTCTGGTGCCCCTTTTACCTTGGATGTGAATCCAAAGATCAATAGACTGCGTCTTTAATGTCACCGGAGTGGTCTCAAAGTGCCTCCAGGTCTAGGGGCTCCCTATGTAAGTGCCTTACATAGATGATGATGGTGGAAAGCCCAAAGTAAATTGGGAGTCCAGTTTGAGACTTCCATTCCCAAACAATAAATTATACTGTTGTGAAACTTCCTCAGCTTTTCCTACTCTTATAGAAGTATGTTGGGTGAAGCCTGAAACCATATAACCAGCCCTACAGTTAGCTCCTAACATTCCAGAAGAAACTAGTAGCGTACCAGTAGGAATCATAGTGTGTTAAATCCTCTGTAATGGCTTGGGATACATGCAGAAGTTGGGTGTATTAGCAGAATTTAGTAGCAAAGTCATGCATCTGGTGAATAGCAAGGATGTCAAATTCACCTGCACCAGATCCAGACTGCGGGAGCCTCTTGAGGCTGGGTCCAGACCTGGGTGGCACTGAGGCAAGTGGCATTGGAGCCAAAATGGGGGGAGGATGTTAATGCAGCTGTTGCTCACCCCACCCCTGCTTGTTCTGTCCCAAATTCCCAGCCCCTCTTGGAGCCCTGTGGGCCAGATGCCAAAGGGCATAAATTTAACACCCCCAGTGTATAGCATAACAACTGTGCCATAATCCCTCTGGAGTGGGGGGAAAGGAGGACTATGGCGGGGCTCTTCAGCATATTTTAACAACCCTTGCAGCAGTCTGACACTGACAGCCCTTGTCCCCTACTTTATCTATGGGAGATTAGGGTACTGTGCCTTGGTAGTTGTGTGACAGGATGGATTGTGTAGTTTTAGTGATAGGATAGACAAGGATTTGTATGTGTGGGGGTTTGGATAGGGTTGATCCTGCCTCAGGCAGGGGGGGAGGAGGGGCTGTATTAGATGACCTCGGGGGGGCTCTCTTTCAGCTTTACTTATGCTCTAATGCTAGTACTCCAGGGTTTATTCTGCTATCTTTTTCTTACCATTTGCTTGAGGAAAGAAGAGGGCGAATGAGTCATCCCTGTTAAACAAGCAGATATTACCGAGTTGAGACAGTTCTTTAATTTGCTTGTAAAGGGGAATACTTCAGTGCTGTGTTTGCTTGGCTATAAGCCAACAACATTATTTGAAACTAATCAATCTGCAGATCTGCATGTACTGAAAAATGTACATTGCACTTAGAGTGCTTCAAATTTTAGTGTATACTGTTTTTCTCATCTTTCATGTATACAATCTATATGTTAGAACCATAGATTCATAGAAGAGTAGGGCTGTAAGGGACCTCCAGAGGTCATTTGGTCCAAATACTCTTCCCTTACTTATTATACACCTGCTTTTTGTTAGTAAACCATTACATAGTTTCTCTTCTGGGATGTCTGAAACAACTACAACTTTCATGACACAGCACCAGAGCTGTGTGCCAGTTACATAAGGCGTAAAAGGTTGCTTATCGAGACAGTGCTAAAAAAGAAGAGGAGGGAACTCCCTTCTTATCTCTGAATGTGACTCCTCAAATTAAACCTGTTCATAGGAAGATATTTTTACATCATAACCTTCACAGTTAGTTACAGTTGAGCCACATCCAATGAACTTGGATATATGGAAACTCTCAACGATATAGTAGAAAGTTGCAAATTGTTTTGTGCACTGCCTAATTCCAGTCTCTGTTCCTGTGAATTTTAGTTTATAGGGATTTTTTGTGTAAAAATAATTTAGCTATGAGAATCCTACTGTGTTATAAAAGGTTAATGCAACTTGAAATACATATTAACATTTATAACAGCTACTATATCAACTGATATTCAAATTCAATCCCGTTTTAAACAAAGACAGAACTATTCGCTTCAGTAGAGATATGTTGACTTGCAGAGACCAGGGCTGAACTGACTTCTTCTGTGTTCTTAATTCAATAGGCAGTAAGCATTGGCAGCTTTGGAAGCA